TTGAGAAAGAGGACCAAAGAGTCCTCTTAATGTACATCTCCCCCAGCACACCACTCCCTTCAAGACATCGTTGAGTTGGGTAGCTGCATTTCCCCACTCCTATGGGGATTGTCATTCCCATAGCTGAAAGCTCACTTGGACCTGTGCTCACTTTGGCTTTGTCCAGAGAGGAGAACCATGATTCTGTGGAATCGTGAGACCAAAATCATGTTACTGTCTGCATTTGAGATACTACCCCAGACTTCATAGAAGTCAGTGACCTGTTTCTAGGAGGAATATGACTTCATATTAATAGATTTAGCTTTACATGTTTGTCTTCTTCCTGTATACTCTTTCCTTACCAAAATGTACAATTATGTTACAGATGGGTTTATGGAACAGTTGTGCATTTGTCTGTTTTCTGAAAGCTGCTAATATGATTGAAATCAGCATTTCTTCTGTGATGTTTAATCTTACTGGCCTTCTTTGAGGCACCTCCCTCCACTCACTATATTTAGGTGAACTTCTTTGTTAATACACTTCAGATATGTTTCAAACCTGTTTTTTTATTTGCCCCCCTGTATTTAAAGGTGATAATGTATTTGTGAGGACAGTACATGTTGGCAGGAGTGTATGTGTAGACTCATGTACATGGGTGAAGAGGCATCCTTGACCAAGGTGGTTTGTGCATAGTTGCTTGAAACATGTGTAAGATGAGTTTACTTCCCTTAAGAGCTCATCTAACCCAAATCAGTGTGGGTATGTCCAGGTGCTGGAACTACCTTGTGTTCTGAGCAGTGATGAGCTGTGGTGCCTTAGACCATCCCTGGATGCTATGAAGTTCCGGCTGTGCATGGCTTGAATTACTTTACAAGCAGGCAAAGTTTGTATGCCTTCCCTGTGATTTCTGAGTCAGGAGTCTGTGTGTGCCCAGAGGGATGTGCACAAGTGACCAGGGAAGAGCCTGTGTACTGGGGAGAACCCGAGGCAGGTGAGTATGTGCAAGTGAGCACGTGTGTGTGACAGAGTCTGTGTGTGAGCCTGTGTGCTCTCCTGTGGCAGCCGTGTGAGTCTGACTTGGGCCATTCTCCAGCTGTGTAAATACATTGCTTAGCAAACTGAGGGCTCTGGTTAATGATTGCCATGAGCACAGGGCCCATATTAGGCTCCGTTCTGTGAGCAGTACCCAGCTGTCTGAATGCCATTAGAGTGAACACATGAGCCTTTAATGTCAAGTGTGTATTGTTTGTGCTCTGAGGAGCCTCTGCAGGAGCTGCCCTGGGGTTGCTCACCAGGGGCTGTCAGGCAGGTTTATGGCAAGCTCCCTGGGGACCTACTGCAGTGGCAACAACCCTTAACACCCTTCCCTAGTCAAAGCAAAGTCCCAGGCGTGGTGTGCCCAAGGAGAAGGGCAGGCTGGCTAGGATGCTTGCCCAGACTACAGGGAGGCAGCTGGCCCAAGCCACAGGGTGGCAGGAACATGTTCCCCTCTCTGGCAGCTGGCTCTATCTGTTTTTGTTCTGGAAATACATCTACAGAGCTCTGCCTTGTGCTACTCATCAGGACCAGACCACCACATGCTGTGATCCCAAATGGTGTCTTGGACTAAGCCAGATCAGGCCTCGTCAACCCTAGAGCTGGATATGAACTCCAATCTAAAAACGCTCTTCTGCAAGAAGAGAGTTCAGGGATTTGGAGGTTTCTTAGCTCCAGCAAGGTCAGTGCCAGAGGTGCTGCCCTGTCAGTCAGGGAGCAGGTGCACAAGGAACCTGTATAGCTCAGGGTTGTAAAGGATGCAGATTGGTCAGGATGTTGCTGTGGATGAGAGAGTCACGTTACTGCCTCTCCTGTTACTGCCTGCAGCTGGGCACAGGCTGATTCTCACTCTGCCCTTGTCTGTGGTTGTTGAAAGCCAGTGGTCACCTTGTGGCTGCTTGAGAGGTGCCAGGATGATGAGGCAGGATTGGGTGCATTTTGAGCCTCACTTGCAGCTGCATGACTTCCTGTGAATCTCAGCATCTCCTGCGTCTTCTCACATCCCTGACCTTCAGCCTCACCTGTTCTGTGCCCATTGTCCTGGCAGTGCCCTGGGAACGCTCTCTGCCCCACACATTGGCCCAGAAGAAGACCCAGAAAGAAACCATAGCAAACTTTCCACCCAAAGCCTGGTGAGTTTTGTAGATTACTTTTGTCTGTCCGTTGGAGCCATCTTTCCCCAGCCTCTTCATCTGCCGTGTGCCAAAAATGAACGGATTCAGCTGCCTTCCCTAATCCTGTCTGGCATCTCAAAATGGAGGGGACTGCCAGGTTCTTTGTTCCCATTCCCTCTTGGCACTGGCAGGGGACCTTCTCTGCTCTGGAGAAGGACAAATGTGCTGATTTATTCTGCCCCTTAGCTTTGAATAGGGGTTGCTATGTTACCTTCCAGCTCTGAGGCCTGCCAGAGCATACACCATATATAACCCCACAGCAGGTGGCTATTGAGTAAAGGCCCTTAAATCTGCCTCTCTTGTTTCTTATGCTGCTGGCCAAGGTGTCAGGGGGATGTAGCAGGGCATGATTTGCTGGCTGAAACTCCAGGCACAGCTGATGCCAAGCACCATGTTGGCATTTTCCATTCTCGAGCACCCATCTTAATTGCAGCAGAGATACCAGCTAGGCAGGAACATGCTGCCCACACTGGCTTTTAGAGGCCTTTCCTGACATAAAGGCTGCTGCCCAGTGGGGCTGAGCAGTGACCAAGAGCTTGGAGACAAGAGGCTTCCAGATCCTGCTGCAGTTATTGCAGCTCTCAGGGCCTGGCTTGGACACTTCCTAAGCTCACTCTGATTTTCTGTGTGTGTTTGGGTGAGACAAATCATCCTGGCAGCTTTTAGGGGATATTTGTGTGTTGCTGCCTTGTGATGACAAGTTAAAACCCAAGCAGAGGAGAGGTGGAGGCATCAAAACACCACCTTGCCATGCTGTCAGGTGTGTGATAGACCTGAATCTGAAGTGCTAAAATGAACCACTGTGTTCTGCTAGACAGAGTTGGTAATTGTTCCTAAAAAGCCAAATTCTTTGAGGAACAGTCTCACAGTGCAGGCTAAGCAAAGGAGACTGTAGTTCCAGTTGGGAAAGGCCTAGAAGAGGAGCAGGGAGTCACATAACACCAGAGCCCAGTCTAAATCACATAGAATGTTAAGAGTTGGAAGTGACCTTAAAAATGATCTACTTCTAATCCCACCTGCCATGGATAGGGACACCTCCCATCAGACCAGGCTGCTCAACGCCTTATCCAGCCTCACCTTGAACACTGCCAGGGTTGGGGCATTTACAGCCTCCCTGGGCAACCTGTTCCAGTGTGTCACCACCCTCACAGGAAAGAATTTCTTCCTTATGTCTAGACTAAATTTCACCTATTCCAATTTGTACCCATAACTCCTTATCCTGTCACTACAGTTCTTGAGGAAGAGCCTCTATCTGGCTTCCTTGTAGACCCTTTCCAGACACTGAAAGGTTCGTTTGAGGTCTCCATCCTACCTTTTTTCCTCCAGGCTGAACAGCTCTAACTTTCTCAGCCTGTCTTCCTTGGGGAGGTGCTCCAGTCAACAACTTCATGTGTTCCTCTGGACTTGCTCCAACAATTTCATGTCCTCCTTCTGTTGGGGACTCCACAGCTGAATACAGTATTCCAGGTGGGGTCTCACCAAGAGCAGAATAGAGGGAGAGAATCCCTTCCTTTGACCTGCTGGCTGTTCTGCTTTTGATGCAGCCCAGGATTCCACTGCCTTTCTGAGCTGTGAGTGCACAGTGCTGGCTCACCTTGAGTTTTTCGTCAACCACCACCCCCAAGTCCTTTCCTGCAGAGCTGCTCTCAATCATGTGTCTGCCCAACCTGTAGGTTTTTGGGTTTTTTCCTAACATGTTTGTCATTGGGTTTTTTCCTGACCTCTGTGAAAATAGTGGTAAAGCCCCTCCCAAGAGTGATGGAAGTGCAATGAGAGTAGGGGATGTTTGCATGAGTTTCTGAGCTGCTGAAGTTTCCACATATTCCTTGGGAATGAACTCTACAGGATCAGGATTAAACACTGTCCTGGACCCTAGAGCAGTTAGACCTCCTCTCCTGGCCAGAAAGTATCAGTGAAGTAGCTGTCCCACTAGTGCTTCTGCTTGCATAGGGAAAGAAACAAACCAAAGTTCCTGAAAAGTTAAAGGAAAGCTCTTCACATCTAACAGAGTGGAATTACTTCTTTGGCACCATCATTCCTCTGGGATCTACATATCCTAGCACAGCATAATGGAGAACAGCATTCCTGTCCTGTCACAGAGTGCAGGGTGTACGTGGCTATTTCTGGCCTCCTTACTCTGGACCTGCTGTGAACACTGGGAGCAAAAGGGGAGAGAATGGTCTTCAGTGGCCATGGTAAAACCAGTGTGTAAGGCCTTGGGAGTGGCATCTTTTCCTCCAAGCAATTCTCACCCATTCCTCATCAAATTTTAGAGTCTGGAACCGAAACCCTGGAGAGTTTCATCATGCCTGGGACTTTAAGAAACAGTGGTTTGTAAATCCTTATTGGAGAGCTGTTGAAAAATGGGGCTGAAGAATGTGCTTCCAGAGATAACTTGGTTTGTCTCCATGCTCTAAAAGCGTACCAGATCTTACTTCAAATGAATTTAGCTTTTTGATGTGATACCTTTTGGTAGTGGTGCTTTTCTGACTCTGGTACTCTAAATGCATCATGGATATCCTGTTTCACTTAGTGGCTACAGGTGCCATGGGTTAGGTGGATCCTAGGGGCTTCAGCCCTGGAGGAAGGGAGGTGTGCCTGCTTTTTATCTTGAAGGGTAAGAGCAAGGATGCGAGCAAAGTGCTCCCACTGCTTATATTAGTGCCATTTGCTGCAGGTGCAAGCATGACCACCCATTGAAGGAGGTGTAATTGTATCAGAGAGGGGGATGACAAAGCACTCAAGGCAGGAACTTCACTGTTTGCAGCTGCCATGAGCACTGACCTCATGCCTGTTTCTGTTCCCCTGCAGAGCACCAACGGAGGCCGCCCACCGCCCCACTTCCTGTACGATCCCTCCACTTTTGCCTTCCGTTCCCTCAGCACCTTGAAGCCGCTGAGCCCCATAGCTCCAGTGGAAGAACCGTCATGTGCCTACTGAAGGAGTTTCTCCAAAAAACCTCAGGAACTATCACCCAGTGTCCTGCCTGGCAGGGAGAAGGGGAGGTGGTGATACCCAAGGGGAGGGGTGGGAGAAGAAGGGGCAATGAGATGTCTTTGCAATGCAGCTGCTCCGGCAGGGGGAAGCGAATGGCTTGGCAGCAGTGCCTGTTCTCATACCACTGATGGAGCCCAGCAGTGGCACAGGGAGGGAGTTTTGTCTCTCAGGGCAAAGCAAACTAGTCAGGTGCACAAACTGCAAGAACTGCCACCAAGGCAGTGTCAAACGTGAGGATGGTGGCAACTGAAGATGTCCAGGAGGTGTTCAGGGGTTAGTGTGACCTGCATGGCAGCAGGGGTGAGTGATCAAGCTGTGAAACCAAATCCAGTCAGTTTCCCAAGGATACCTGGGTCTACAGTGCTTTGCTATAGACCTGACACTTCTCCCACTCAGAAGTGAACTCAGGATTGGAGAAAGAGTCTTACAGAGCTGCTTGCAAAACAAGAAGATCCCTCTCTGAGATTGTTATAATTGCATTCACATCAAGCTCTCTCAAGTGGAAAACCTGGGGACAGGGAGGTGTGTGGAGGAGTAACTGGCACATTTAACTGTGCATTCCAGATGATCTGCTGGCAGTTCAGTGATACTGCCCAAAAAGAGATTGAAATGGGAGAGTGAGACATCCATATGTACATCTGGGGTTAGAATAAAATTCTAGAATTGGAAGGTCTGTGTTGAGCCATCCAGGAAAACGCAGCACCCACCTTCAGTCCTCTCGGCATCATCAAAGAGAAGAACTTGGAGGTGACTGTGTGCCCATGGATCCCCTCTCTGCTGGGGCAGTGTGTGTTCTGGGGTATGTCACACTTCTCCATAGCATTGTCCCACTACATGATGGTGAATGTAACTGGTACCACCAAATTCAAACCAATTTATTGCCTCCAGCAAGCTTTCCACTCCCCTTCTTAAGTTCAGGTACACTCCTCTGGTATCAGAGAGACAGTATTCCCAGATGAAGCAAGGAGTGTGAAAAAGTCGATTTTGTGGCTGTTGGTGGAAGAAACAGGAGGGGAGTTTGAGTGAAGGTGGGGGACATTTCTCCACAGACAGTTCTGAGCTGTTGGGACCATCCTAGGCCTTGCTGCCACTGGTGTTTGGCTGGGATCTGTCCTCGAGGTGTGTGTGTTTTGTGCCAAAGGCAGGAGTTGGCAGGACAAGCTTTTGCCTCTCCTGTTGAGGCAGAGGAACAAGGCCTTTACTCTTGCTGCACCTGGTGGAGAGAGCAACCTCTGGTGTAAGCATTGCCCACCATGAGCCTGTGCCTGAGTGCAAGGGGAAGCAAGTAGTTTGTACAGATTGGGAGGAGCAAATGTGAGTAATACAAAATAATTTTTATTTTTTAAAATCTGCCTCAGTGTAGAGTCTTTGCTGCTCTCTGGTTGATACCAATGGTCAGTCCAGCTGCCAGCAGGAGGCTACCCAGTGAGCTGGTCTAGGCCCTTCAGTGAGACCCCTGGGGAAAGTCCAAGGGCTGTAGGCTTTGGGATTCAGGTGGGGACCTGATTCCCCACACCCCCCCTCTTCTCCCTAACTCCTGTCATTCAGGCAGGCAGAGCAGCTGGGCAAGGTGGTGAGGGGATCTCTGTCCTGATGCTGTCCCAGCTCTGCCTGCTGTTTGGCTCCAGCCTGTGACTGCTGGGCCACCTTCTGCACCAGCACCACCTCCAAGAGGTTACTTGTGACTTGTGCTCACTGGTGAGGGACCTCTGGCAGACCATCGCGGTTCCCTGCAAGTCCCTGTTTCCAAGAGAGCACAGTTCCTCTGCTGATTCCTCTTGCCCCTGCAGAAATTCTGCTTACCGTGTTTTGATGGCACACCTCAGCTTTTTAACTGCTGCCAGATCAAGCTGCCCAGTGCAGGACAGGAAGCATTGCTCCTTTGGACCAAATCCCTGTGCTCAGGGGATGGGACAGCCATAGCCTGGTACCCGTCTAAGAGGCACATTCCTTGTGCAGATGGCTGGGGTGGCAGCCTCCTGCATGGCCCTGCAGCCTCAGGCTTTGCTCAGCAAGAGCTGCCAAGGTGCAGGGGCCCAGAGGTGTGTTCTGCCAGCCAGCAGGTGGGGCAGGCTGCCCTTCCCCAGGTGGGAGCAGGGAACCGGGATGTCCTGCGGATATTGTTGCCTTTTACTACTTTTGTAACTTTTCTGTCTTTTCTTTTTCAATCAGAAGAAAAAAAATAATAAAAAAATTAAAACCCCACAGTGAAATAAAGTGTAACAGCTGCTATATTCATACCTCTGGATGCATTTGCCATCTTCGGGGTGTTTGTGGGTGGGGGTATGGAGGAGGTGGAGTAGAATGAGCAGTGACACAGTGCAGCCAGTCCCAAGCACTCCACAATGCAAGTGAATGGCTTTGGAAATGGAGAGCTTGTCCAAAATGAATGCCAGGCTCTTTGTATGTGTACCTGCTCCATTTGAGGTGTGGTGTACTGTCCCTCACTGGTGCTTCCCTCACCAACATGGTGCTTTGGATTTGAGTAACTACCCAAATGGTCTTTGGCTTGTAATTTTAACTTCAGGAAGTCCTGCGTGTCTGTCCTGAGAGTCTCCACAGCCCTTTTGTTTACAGCCAGAGTACTTTTCCTTCTCCATAATTTAGCTGTAGTTCATCCCTTCCTCTAGATTTTGCTCTAAATACTCCCATCTCGGGTACTTGTGCATTCCCCACCCCTTGTTATTTACTTGAGCTAATTCCTGTCTCTCCCCCACTCCTCAGTCTGTATCCTCACCAGCATCTCACAAGGCTATTACCTATGTCCCCTTTTCCAAGGCCTCCTGAGAGATATTAGCATAAATTCCCTTAGCAGTCCTACTTAGATTCATTCCCAGGAGGCCTTTTCCATTCTTCCCTCCAAGCTCTGATCTCCTCTAGGCTTCTTGCCATCTCTCTTATCTTGAAATACTCCCTTCTCTGTCAGCTGCAGCTTGTTAATTGGTCTTGGCCAATTTTGCAAGGGTTGTACGGTGCCTTGCTGGCTCCCCCGAGCCCTTTCTCTTTTACCTCCCTTACTGAATGCTTTCCTCTGGGATGTGTCTTCCAGCACAGCCTGATCCCTCAGCACAACTGCCCTTGGAGCCCCAGATGCTGTTCAAAACCATGCTGGTGGCTGTGACTGCACAAACCCTAATCAAATGTAGGCCGCTGCCAGGTCAAGCTTGTTGTAAGTCTGTTTTGTGCATTCAGAGAGAGTGATGCATTGCCCTTGTATCCCCTAGGCTGGAGTATGGACACCTAGTGCTCCAAAGCCAGGGTACAGCCAGTGAAGGGTGGGAAGCTGGCACACAGTTTGGCATTGCACAGCCAGCCCAGTGGCCAGGGTGAGATGGGGGTAGAGCTGCTGCTGCTGCTGCTGCCCCTGGGTTAATGACAGAACAGGGCAGCTTTTGTGGTGGAACAGAAATAATGGTAAACTGCAATATGGCAACAAGTCTGAAGCTCAAGGAAGGCAGGTTAGGGGTATTCATGAAGATCTTACAGGGTACTTTTCAGCTGTAGCTACCACTGTTACTGACAGGAGGATGTAAAGAGAGAGAGAGGAAGATGTAGAAAGGAGAGTGGGGGGTGTTGGCCTCCTTTAGATGCCAGACCCTGTCATGTGGGAACAGTTTCCCAAAGCCACTGCATGAGGCATCAGCAGAAACCAGGGAAATGAGAGCTGAACTGTGGTCTTTGAGCCACGGTCCTTGCTGTAGCCACTGCTCCCTGTTTCTGCCTCTGGCATCCATCCTGCAGGGCTGATCACCCCTGTGGGTTTCAAACCAGCTTGTGCAAACACTTCCTCCTCTGCCAGAGTGGGCAGGGATGCTGGCTGAGGTCTGAGCACTGTGAGCACGGTCAGGTTGGTGTGGGTCCCTCAGGACCTTCACTTTGCCGGAGCTCCTGGCTTCCCACCAGGTCTGGGTCCTGGCTCAGCAGGACAGCCTGTAACTTCGGAGTCCTTTCTCTGCTCTTAGCCCTCTTGCTTGGAGACGTGCAGGTGTTTCCCTTCAGAGCAGGGCTGTTGTGCCAAAGTGCAGCTCAGCTGCGTGAACCATCTGCAGGAGGGTGAATGGGGACAAGCGGCTGTTTCAAGAGCTTGGCTATGGCTCCTCTACGACTTAAGCAGGACCATTTAAGCTAATACTGTTCTCCAATTAAAGTAAATTAATTAGGTTAATGCTATGGCCTTTTGAAAATAGCAGAGAAGAACAAAGATCCCAGCAGTGGCAAAATGGATTGTTCCATCTATGCCCTGAGCCTCAGTGAGTCCCTTTGCAGCCAGCACACAGGATTGTCTCTTCTTGGCATTGTCCAAACATTTTCTGACATACATGTATGTACATGCATGCACACATGTGATCTATATATATATATTTCTGTCTCACTGTGCTCCATTTGTGCAGAAATCTCTGTCTTCTGACAGTCCCCCATGAGCAGAGTGCCCTGTGCTCACCTGACTGGCTCAGTCTGTGGCAGGGCTCCATGTGAAGCCCATCTGTGGCACACTCACCCCTCTGTGCAGCAAAGTGCAGTGTTGCTTGGAAAACCCACCCTGTTTCCAGGTGCATGCTGAGTGTTGACCCATCTGCCTACCTATGGGACTGACTAGGAGAATGGGCAAAACTGTCAGTGCTGCTGGGGCCAGGGTTCTCACCTCAGGCTCCATGGAAGCCACTGAAACATGGCTTGGCACTGGAAAAACAGAAGCAGAATTTCCAGCTGGACAGACCATCTCATTCAAACAACTTTGGGCTTTCCTTTGCTCTTCCTGAAGCTGCATAGCATCTTGAGGCAAGGTGTGGGGTGGAAGAATGCATTCAAGGGTGTGTATCAAGTTACGATTGAATGGGATATGTGCTGATGAAGTGTGGGTATATAGACACAGTGCATTTACAGTGGTATTTATGTGCCTGTGGTGTTTGTATTTATGACATATTCGTTATATTTTATTCAGAAGGATGTGTTGGAGGAGTAAAGATAAAGGGGCATGCATGCCTGCAAGTGTGGTTCTGGAAGGATGGATGCTGGTGGATGTGCATCTGGAGCATGGGCAGAAGGGCCTGTGCAGGGGAGGGGTGTGAATGAGCCTGTGTGTTTCCAGGTGGCTGCAGGCAGTGGTGCATGGAGGGCATACAGATGGGTTACGTATGCCAAGGCAAGGGGGGTGCTGTTTCTTTCCTGTTTCTGCAGTGTCATCCATTATGGTAATAACTGGCAGAGTATCACACCAGTAATGACTGGAAAAGTGAAGAAAAATTTACTTATGCCTGATCTTGAGGCACTTGGGAGCTTTCACCATTGAATTAAAAACAAGCACACACGTGGACACCAGTGACTCAAGACCAGGTGATCTCAATACAAATTAGAGTGTGATTGTATGTTGCTTCTCAGACAAGAACTTCAGGAACATCAAATAAAAGTAGCAGGTGGTGGGTTCAAAGCAAACGACCAGAGGC